CAACCAGGAAAAGAGTACAAAACAGGTCATTTCTATCTGTATTTTAGAAGTAAGGGGAAAAAGGCTACACACACGGCACAGATATGCTTTCAATTGTACTTTCTCTCTACACATTCCTCTAATGTCAGCACATTTTTACTTCATTGACAAATGAAAAAAGCCAATTCCCTTCACCCATTATACTTATAAAAATGCACTGTGTTCAACATAACCAAAAAACCTCCTTCTATCTTGTTAAAAAAAATCAACACCCCTTTTACTCCACAGAACCCCCTCCTCTAGCACCATCAGCTAATTTGCTGGTAAGGGTATCTCAACTGAGAGTCTCATCACTAGAGACAAGCCTGATCCTAAATCTGAAGGACCCTGATTCCAAATGCTGCTACAGATCTCTTAGGCAGAATAACAGTAAGATGACCTAGACTTAGGGGGGTCAAAGAAGATGGCACAAGGTTAACATTATGTAGGCCTCAAGTTGGGAGATTTCAGATCTTCCACTTACACTTTGCCTTGGACAAATCAGTTAAATCACTGATTTCCTTAGCTGTAAAATAGGGAGAAAACTACCTTGCAGCATCATCTAGGGCATTAGATAACATGTACGTAACAACACAGTGCCTGGCTCAAGCTAAGTGCACAATAAATGTAACTGCTTCCTAATCCCACTTAGCAAATGTTTCAGTAAAACTTAGATGTGCCACTCAACTACACACTGATAAATTATAAATAGCAACTGGTAAAGAAATCTCTGATTCAAGACCAACTATATTGACCAAAAGCTATTTTTAAAAGAAATACCTGCTGATACTAGAAGACCCCCAGAGGGAAAAAGCAGGACACTCTCCACTGGCTGCCCATGCTCAACAGAGAGAACGCTTTTATTTGTTCGTGCATCAAACATCTTCACAGTATGATCGTATGACCCTAAAATGCAATGTTTGTATTACGTAAGTTTGACTGTGTGTATATGTAAAACCAGACACGCATTTCTTTTTAAAGCTAATTTTTTAAACTTTATTTATTTATTTTAATTTGATCGGAGAGGGACAGAGCAAGGGAGAGAGAGGAAGTGAGAAAGCAAGTCGCCAGGTCCAGCATTTGAACCGTGGTTGGTCATGTGTGAGTCCAGCACTCTTAACCACCACGTCACCTGCTAGACATACAATTTAAAAGAAAAATAAGCTTAGATGGAATTTTAAAAAGACAAGTGTAGCTACAATCCCTCCACTACCACTGGCTGTCTTGGAAACACACTATTACTTACACTACAGACTCTTCCTTGCTCTGATATGAAATTATTCCTCTCTTCAGACCATGGTCACTATTGAATCATCTGGCAATCTTTGTACAGGCACCCACCAAAGTTGAACTGCACTGTCTTTACTCCTTCACCGCTGGAGGCTCTCTAAAAACCAGGGAACTAAACCCATTATAGTTCTGACTTTCCACTATAGTTTCAAAACAGCCTGATATTTTCCTACACATCTGAAGCACAAACATGAACAACTAACTAAAGAAGAAAAAATATAAAGAACTGGATGATTCATCAGAAACATTCCTTTATAAAAATTTTTATACACTCCATCTGAAAGAGTCCAAGAGTAGCACTAAAGTATATCCCAAAAAGACGATCTATTTCAGGAGGATTAAAAAAAAAGAATTCACCAACCTGTTACAAAGAGGTCTGGGTTCAGTTTGCTAGCACATCCACACCTCACGTAATCAGTATGTTCTTTGAATGTCAGAATTTCTTTGGAGTTTGGAATATCCCATAATTTAACTGTATAATCATCAGCTCCAGAGACTACATGGTATTTGTCAGCTGTAAAATCTACTGTATGAACTGCTCTGAAAGATCAAGGATCAGTATATTAAAAAAATTGTATCTTTGGCAACCTATAATATAAAATGTTCCTTTTCCCCAGATAACAATAACAACAACAAAGCAGCTCGCTTTCAGGGAATATTTATACAGGGAAATCAGGAGAAAAAAATAAAGTCTTTAAAAACAGGAGTTTGCCCCAAGCCAATTTAAAAATGCAAATACCCCTGTATTATGAAATTAATATTAGTAAACAAGAACTTTAAAATTATACTGTCTAAAACTGTAACAGTTCTACTTAGCTGCTAAATGAAAGTGACTGTTCTAAATGGTGAAACAAAGGTATTTTTCTTTAATTTATAAAATGTCAAAAGCTGGGACTAGCAGTTAGCATAATGGCTATGTTGCTGGACTCCCACGTAGTTGGCCGCGGTTCGAGTCCCGGACCCGGTGGCTTAAACTCACGCCGGGCACATGTGCGTGCATGCCCAAGATCCCGAGAGGAGAATGGAGGAGAAGGGATTGCGGCGTGGCCACCCCCCCAGGGGGTGATTTCCTACTTTCTGTCTCTCTGTCTCTCTCTGTCTATCTGGCGAGCGCACGTGCCCTATAGCAAAAACCTCTCAAAAAAAAAAAAGTCAAAAGCTTCCTTTAACAACTCTAAGACTGGAGCTAGTAGGTGGCATAGCAGGTAAGGCACTGGATCCCACATTGCCAGCTGTGTGGTTCGAGTCCCAGACCTGGCAGTTTGAAAAATCACACCATATCCACATTATGTGCATGTCCAAAATCCCAAGAGGAGAATGGAGAAGGGACTGTGGCGTGGTCATACCCCTGGGGGTAATTTCTCACTTTCCCTCTCTCTGTCTCTCTCTGGCAAATGTACATATCCTACAGCAAAAATTAAAAACAACAAACAATCTCCAAAAGACTTCCCAGTATTGGCATCAGCAAATGGCATAATGGTTCTGTCACTGGACTCTCACATAGTCAACAGCAGTTAGAGTCCCGGGCCTGGTGGCTTAAAAAACATGCCAGATGTGCATGCATTCCCCAAATCCTAGAGGAGAATGGAGGAGAAGGGATTGCAGTGTGCCCGTCACCCCTGGGGGGGGGCGGGGATTTCTCTTGTGGCCCTCATTTCTGTCTCTCCAGCAAGCACACTAGCCCTATGGTTAAAAAAAATCTCTCTCAAGAAGAAAAAAAAAAAAAAAAAAAAGACTTGCCAGTATATAGGATCATACTGAGTAAATCTGATATATTTTAAATATTTCACTGATGGGACAAGACCATTAATAATACACAATAAAAAACACTTTTTTTGACATTTTAAATCAGAAGCAAATTTCAGCAATGACACTGGTAATCCAGAAACAAAGTTATAATATAAAATTGTAATAGCTATTTATTTCTAAGGGCAAAATACTACAAATCCAAGAAGAAAACTCTCCTTCCGACTTGACTTCCACACAGGAGCCCCTGCAAATAGAGCAGGCTGACAGAGCTTTCATTAACTAGGTGACCTCTAGTTCAGTGGTGCCTCACCTCACTGCGTCACAGACCCCACTCTGAGAAGTTTAATAAAAGGTAGAGAACCTCTCCCTTCTTAAAATCTGCCACATACAATTCTAGGGAATTCATCAACTTCACAAAACCAGACCATGGAATCCAAGTTATGCACTCTCCGAACCACCAGGAAATAAAGTACATACAGGTATATAATCTTCATGAAACTGTTCTCTCTGTTTTTATCTAAAGCCTGGAGAAAGAACAGAGCTTACAACAAAAACTTAAACAAACAGTAGGGAGCACAGAAAACCCAAGTGTCTCTTACTTTGTATGGCCTTCGAACTGCCTGAGGGGAGCCCTCCCACTTATATCGAAAAGCTGCACTCCACCATCTTCACTTCCTGCCACAAGCAATCTACCATCCTGTCGAAAAGTAGCACAGTATGCTGTGTCTTTAAATCGGGAGAAGGTTTTTATAGGTTCCTGGGAATATCGGCCATAAATGTGAATCTACAAGATAAAAAAAGTGTTTTACTATATGGCTCAAGACCAGTAGTATATTATATAAAAGAAAAAGTAAGAAATAGAATACTGTACTTACCCTTGAGGAGGCTGTGACAGCATAATTATAAGGAGGCTGTGGAGAAAAGTCTACTTTTGACACTGCACCGAACTCCTTAATCTGAACAGGGGTCTTAATGAAAAATAATATAGAATATTAACAGAGTTAAAATTGGAAAGATCTAATTAAGCATTATATAATTTCTTACAAAGTGTTTTTGTTCTTAGTAACATTTATTAGGTTGTACTTAATATAAACATATGAAAAAGCAAAAGAGGTCCCTATTTCATTACCCAGACTATCTCTGTTGCCATTAAAGTAAACAAACACAGGATAAAAAGGCCAATATTTGATGTCTTCGGTTACTAAGTTTCCTGTGATCCTTGTCAGAAATAAAATAAAAAGCCTATCTCAGCATTTAACAATGCATTTTGTAAATGGCACAATGATCATGCCATGCAGGCTGTTAAACAGCTTGCCTTGTTTCACTTAATAACACATCTAATCTAACTTTTTGTATAAGCAATAAATTTACCATCCACTATGAGAATACCATAATTCCCTGTATCAGTCCATTAGTAACAGATGTTTTCTACGATTTCTCCTATTACAAGTAATATTTCAACAAACATCTTTATACACACATCTTAGCAAACTTTGGGAGTATATCCATCCAATATGTTCCAAACTGCAAGAGTATTATTAGGCCAAAGGTATGTGTGTTTTTAAGATTATGACAGATTTTGCGAAATTGCCTTTTAGAAAATGTGTACCAGTGTCCCTCCCTCTACTAGCAATGACAATAAAATTTGTTCACTTGAGCTAACAGATAGAAAATAGTATTTATTATCTTAACTTGCATTTCTTTTTTTTTTTTTTTTTTGAGAGATTTTCACTGTAGGGCACGTGCGCTCGCCAGACAGACAGAGAGAGACATAGAGACAGAAAGCGAGAAATCACCCCCCAGGGGAAATGGTCACGCCGCAATTCCTTCTCCTCCATTCTCCTCTCGGGATCTTGGGCACGCACGCACACACGCCTGGCGTGAGTTTTAAGCCACCGGGTCCAGGACATGAACCGCAGTCGACTACGTGGGAGTCCAGCGACATAGCCATTACGCTAACTGCTGGTTCCTTAACTTGCATTCTACTAGCAATGACAATAAAATTTGTTCACTTGAGCTAACAGATAGAAAATAGTATTTATTATCTTAACTTGCATTTCTTTTTTTTTTTTTTTTTTGAGAGATTTTCACTGTAGGGCACGTGCGCTCGCCAGACAGACAGAGAGAGACATAGAGACAGAAAGCGAGAAATCACCCCCCAGGGGAAATGGTCACGCCGCAATTCCTTCTCCTCCATTCTCCTCTCGGGATCTTGGGCACGCACGCACACACGCCTGGCGTGAGTTTTAAGCCACCGGGTCCAGGACATGAACCGCAGTCGACTACGTGGGAGTCCAGCGACATAGCCATTACGCTAACTGCTGGTTCCTTAACTTGCATTTCTTTATTAATGAGTAAAGCTGTGCCTCTTTTAATATATTTATTAGCCATTTCCCACAAACTTCCCAATTCCAACCTTTGTCCATCATTATATTTATTGAATAGATGTCTAGTTTTTAAAAAATCATTTCTAAGCCTTTTTTAGATGATATAAAAGAACTAATTTCACAACACTTTTTCCTTAGATAAAGAAAGGCAAGAAAACATCTTCTGGCATATGATATTCAAATTCTAAAATTTAATTAATTGGACATTTAATTAACCAGGCAATAGGATAATCCTCTATTCTGTGTTAAGCACTTCTTACATGATTAAACTGATTAAGCAATTCAGACTTTTATATAAAATTCCAACAAAAAATAGATATTGAATTATCCATTCAACCTATTGGGTCATTAGAAAAGTCATGACATAGTTTTCTATGCAAAAACATCATGACTTTTCCAACGACTCAATAGAAGCTACCAATAGATATTTTTGGTTAATAGTTCTCTGTTGGAGTACCCAAAGTATAACATGTATAGAAGAAACTGACATAAACGCAAACCCTCTTCCTTCATTATCTCCCATACTCACCTTATAGTTGTTCCAGTACAGAGTATCTTGGGTGATTTTTTCACCAAGTATAGGATATGTCTGAATAGCTGCAGGCTTATAACCAGCCATAATTTCATATAATTGCACTGTTGCCCAAGGGTCAATAGTTTGAAACTGATCAGAAGTAATTATACCGACTGTGCCTTATGTCTGAAAAAGAAAACATTTAAATAGACATATTATTCATAAACATGTACAGTTATAATTTTCACTCTGTCTTCTTTCAAAAGGGTGTGTGAAAGTTATAGGTAATAGGGACCAGCAGTTAGCATAATGGCTATGTCACTGGACTCCCATGTAGTCGACCGTGGTTCGAGTCCCGGACCGGTGGCTTAAACTCACGCCGGGCGCATGTGTGTGTGCATGCCCAAGCTCCCGACAGGAGAATGGAGGAGAAGGGATTGCGGTGTGACCATCCCCCCGGGGGGTGATTCCTCGCTTTCTGTCTCTGTCTCTGTCTGGTGAGCGCACGTGTCCTATAGCAAAAACCTCTCCCCCCGCCAAAAAAAAAAAATAGTTATAGGTAAGTGACCAATACACTATTTTAACTGTAACTCAAATTACACTATAAAGGAATAATAGATAAGAGCTACCATCCTTCACCCTCTCCTTAGGTGTACAGAGGCGGTTTACACACGTCCTCACACCTACACAACCAGCTTACATCTGGGGATAAACATGGCTCAGTCTTCCAGCAGCCAAACCAGAGAGAAGCACACTGGCTTCTCTGAATAGTGTTCGTTCACTGAACGGAAAATATTAAAATGAAATTGCAAATACAAAAGTTTCCTGAAATTAAGCTTAAGATGATCTTTATGAGAATACAATCTAGAGGCTTGACTTACTGAAAGTTTAAAGAGGAGAAGGGATTGCGGTGTGACCATCCCCCCGGGGGGTGATTCCTCGCTTTCTGTCTCTGTCTCTGTCTGGTGAGCGCACGTGTCCTATAGCAAAAACCTCTCCCCCCGCCAAAAAAAAAAATAGTTATAGGTAAGTGACCAATACACTATTTTAACTGTAACTCAAATTACACTATAAAGGAATAATAGATAAGAGCTACCATCCTTCACCCTCTCCTTAGGTGTACAGAGGCGGTTTACACACGTCCTCACACCTACACAACCAGCTTACATCTGGGGATAAACATGGCTCAGTCTTCCAGCAGCCAAACCAGAGAGAAGCACACTGGCTTCTCTGAATAGTGTTCGTTCACTGAACGGAAAATATTAAAATGAAATTGCAAATACAAAAGTTTCCTGAAATTAAGCTTAAGATGATCTTTATGAGAATACAATCTAGAGGCTTGACTTACTGAAAGTTTAAAAATACCAAGAAAAAAGTAAAACAAGCTAATATTCTAATACAAAAGATAATTAAATTTAAAAACTTAAAATAAAAGTAAAGCCTGGGAACCAGGAGATGGCATAATGGTTACGTTGCTGGATCCCCTATAGTAGACCATGGTTTAAGTCCCAGATCCGGTGGCTTAAAACTCATGTCAGGTATTTGTGCATGTGTGCCCAAAATCCAGAGAGGAGACTGAAGATGGGACTGTGGCGTGGCCATCCTCCCTGGTGGGTGACTTCTCACTTTCTGTCTCTCCAGTGAGCACACACAACCTACAGCAAAAAATTCTCTTACAAAAAATAAATTAACTAATTAATTAAATGCTGATGTTCTGATACAGGAGCTTAAAATTAAATTAATTTTAAAATATTTAAACAGTAGAAAACCTGCTGAAATTAAGTTCTAAATTAAACTACCTGATTAACATAAAGTAAAACTGGGGCCAGCAGATGACGTAATGGCTATGTCACTGGACTCTAGTTTGAATCCCAGACCGGGTGGCTCAAACTCACGTCAGGCGTGTGTGCATGTGTGCCCAAGATCCTGAGAGGAGAATGGAGAAGTGATTGCAGCGTGGCCATCCCCCCTGGAGGGGTGATTTCTTGTTTTCTGTCTCTCTGTCTCTCTCTGGCAAGCACACGTGCCCTATAGCAAAAATCTTTCCAAAAATAAAGTAAAACTTTTAACTAATTAAGTCAAAATACCTCTTCCGTACTAGTCAATTGCAAAAGAGATTCAAATGCAAAAGATACTCAATATTATCAATGAATGATTCTGGTGGCGCTTTTAATCAAGTATTCCCAAAAGCCTGAAAACACTACATTGGCACACCAAATTAAATAGGTATGACATGTTTTAAAGGCCCTTTAGATAAAACAAAGGAATCAATGATTAAAAGGAAAAAACTGGCCCAGCCACAGCGGTGGACACTACAAAGACACTGCTCTGCAGGCTGAGAGGCCCAGGTTCAATTTCTGTCCAACCTACAGGCCAGGAGTAGTGGTATAAACCTGTAGTCCCAGCTATTCAAAAGGTTGAGGCAAGAGGTTCACAAGCTTGAGGCTGGCTTAGGCAGCAGAACCCTGTCTGAAAAAGCTTGGGATGGTAGTGTGTGCCTGTGGTCTCGGCCACTTGGGAGGCTGAGGCAAAAGGATCACAACATAGGGAAACCCTATCTTTAAAAAAAAGGTAAAGGTATGGAGATCACTTTTCTGTTCAGTACTGACAATCTAGGCATTGGGGACACTACGGTGGGTGAAACTGGCGTGGGCTGTGCCCTCATATATTCCAATATTTTCCCTTTGGGCTGATGTCTGGCATCAGCTAAGAATCTAGACTCAGCCTTGTATTTTCCTTCCTCCTCACTCTGAAAGTTCAAGGAGTGATTAGCAGGATCTACTGATTTTATCCCCCAAGTCTTTCTAAACTTAATGCCATCCACTTCACCCTTAGTTCCCCTGCCCCAGTTGAGGCCTTCTCATCTAATGAATGAAGAGAACAGAATGGTACATCACCATCAGACATTGCAAGGTCTCCCTGACTCCCCCTATCCATTTTCCAAATAGCCGCCAGCTGGACTTCACTACAAAACCCAACAATGCCCAGAAAATAAAGTCCAAGTTCCTCAGCATGGCACTTACGGGCCTCTGTGGCCTGGCCCTTGCTTAGCTTTATAGCCTTACCTCTCGTTATTAATTCCCAAACATTTATTATTCCCTTAACACACCATGCTTTCTTGTCTCTCTCTACTTACTTACTACTTATTAGTTCAGACTCAACTCAGAAATCACGTCTTCAGGAAGCCTCTGACTCCCAGGGCTGATCTGGACTGTCATCTATAATCCAATCCAACTGTGCCTATTTTTGTCAATGTACAAAATCACATTACATTATAACAATCTCTTTTCTCTGTTAAATTGAATGTTCATATTTGGAATATTTGTTTAAAAGTGCTCAAAGAGGGGCTAGCAAATGGGGTGGTGGTTAAGGGCTAGACTCCCACATGGCCAACAATGGTTCGAGTCCTGGACCTAGCAGCTTACTTTCTCACTTTCCCTTTCTCTCTCTCTCTTTTTGTTCAAATTTAATAACAATAATAATTAATAGTAATGATAACAAATAAAACTAAATAAATAGTTCTTAAAAAAATTGTTTAAGAACTGATCAAATAATGTAGAAAGAAAGAAAGACAGCACTGTGGTGGGTTCCATAAGAAAATACAAAATTAAAATCATAAGTGGTATTTATAACAGACATTGCTATAGAGCCAAGGTCAAAAAACTTACTATAAAGGCCAGAGTATAAATATTTTAGGTTTTATGGCCAAAAGCAAAATAGAAGATATTATTTAGTCACAATAGAACCTCCCCCTTATCCACAATGGATCCATTCCAAGACCTCCAGTCCATGCCTGTAACCATGGATAGTATTGAAGCCTATATGTACTGTTTTTTCTACACATATATATCTGATAACATTGAACTTACATCCTGTAAGAGATGAACAATAACTAATAATGAAATAATTATACAAATATACTGTAATAAAAATCAGGTGAATGAGGTGTCTCTCAAAATACTGAGGTGGCTACAAAAGGGCAGTAGCCTAGACATATGGACACTGGACACAGAGATGACTCACATCCCAGCAGACAGCATGAGATTTCATCCTACTACTCAGAACTGGGCAATTTAAAATTTATGAACTGTATATTTCTAGAATTTCCCATTTAATATTTTCAGAGTGCAACTGACTGCAGTAACTGAAACTGTGGAAAGCAAAAGTGCAGATAAAGGGGGACTATTATACTAACACAAGGGAACTTTAAAAAGTTCATAGAAAAATGAAGTGAAGTCAGTTTAATTTGGCACCAAAAAAGTTGAAATCCGTGCATCTTTTCCTAATATGCATTTTCCATGACCTTTTCATATAGCAAGAAAAGTTCTCCCAGTTGTAAAAACTGCAAAACTTCCCCCTCCAAATAATTTTAAGTACAATCTTTTGTTTATAAGAAAGAAGAATGGAATTAGGGAGAAGGTGATAACATTTTGCTTAATCTGGGCTCAAAGTTAATGCTTCTCATCATTAAATAAGTTGCAAATGCTCATCTGTAAAATTCATTTTCTTGGCTCATGTGTACACAAAACAGACACCTGGCTAGATCTACTCCAAGCCCAACTCGGCCTCTTAATAGATAATACAGATGAAGGTATACCTCACTCTAGCTTGCGAGAAATAGCATAATGCTTTAGAGGAAAAAAAAAAACGAGCAAAAGTAGGAGTGCTCTGCCAGATGAGCACATGAGGAAAACATTGGGAGTGGCGGTTGAGGCAGAGGACCACAAGGTGAAAAGCTGCAGAAACAAGAAATGATGTGAAAATGAATAGGAGGACAGTGATCTGAGACAGGGTTAGAGGCTAGAAAACTCGGACTTAACGTACTACTGTAACACAATGCAGAACATTAAATAAGTGCTATGAGTAACGTAGAGTACCGAGATCCCAGAAGAGGGTATTTAATTCTACCTGAAAGACTTTCGCAGAGTGGACCATTTCAACTGGGCCTGGAGGTGTAACACTAAAACAGCTTAACCACTCATTAGATACGTGAGATGGGAGGGCCATTCGAAACTAACGGAACCTTATAAAGCAAAGACAAAGATGTAAATCTGTCTCGATGCGGAGGGGTGCGGATTAGTCTGGGGGCTGGTAACAGTGGAAAGGAGAGGAGTATGATTGTAGTGGAGGAAAACCTGGTCCAAGATGAACTGCTGGGTTCCTCAGAAGCCAGTAAACGAGTTTAACCATTCTCCCGCGGAGCCTGGCAAACCCCAGAGTAGCACATTTACGGAAGAAAGGCCTGACATGACTCTGGGTCACCCTCAATGGGAGCCGCCTTCACCTACCTCCTCTGGGGCCCGTGGGTCGGCCGAGGCTCGCCAGCTCCAAGGACAATTTATTAGACTTTACCAGCTCTCTACCCTAGACCACTCCGTATCACAGGCGCAAAATCACGCGGACCATCAACTAAGAGCCGGCATTCACAGCGCACACGGCACACATCCTCCCGTCGCTGGAGGATGACGTAACGGCGCATGCTCTTGAGACTCACGCAGCTGGATGACGCAACGGCGGGCTAGGTGGGCGGGGTGGTCAGGAGCAGAAGGCGTGGCCGGAGGACCGAACGGGGGCCTTGCGCTCGTGCCCCAGCGGTCAAGGGAAATACTGTCTCTGCAGTACTCGGAGTGTAGAGGAAGGAAAAAAAAAAAAAAAAAAGCAAAACAAAAAAGACATAAGAAATGGAAAATTGTTTGTTGATAACATGTATGTTGATGTGCTTGATTGAGCCAACA